AGGTTGGACTCAAGGGATTGGATCTCAGGAGATCCATGCAGAACTTAATGATTCTTGGACTATAAACAACAGGCCAGAGAAAGTAACTATGGATTATGGTAAAATGAGTAAATTTAGTTTAAATTAAATCATAAAATAAGTGATTTTATCAATTACAGGAGAGAATATGAATGTACAGTACATTCAGCTGTATAATCATAGAATCATTGGGATTGGAAAAGACCCTTAAAGCTCATCAAGAGAAACCATAAACCTAATTCTGCCAAGTTCCCTACAAAACCCCAAGTGCCACATCTAAACCTGTTTTAAATACCTCTGGGGATCATGACACAGCCACCTTCCCTGGGCAGCCCATTTCAATTCTCAGTAATAGTTTCAGTGAAATTTTTCCTAATATCCAATCTAAACATCCTGGCAAGACTTTCTATTGTCTGATACTGATACTGCTGATACTTTGGAAAAGAGGTTGTCACCCACCTTGTTACAACCTCCATTCAAGTAGTTGTGGAGAACAATTAAGTTCTACTGATCCTCCTTTTTTTTCAGGCTAAACAAGTCCAGAGCTCAGGGACTTGAATGAGAACTTAGGAGAATTTATAGCTATTTAGCTGGATGAAGCTTGGAGAGAATTTAGAAATTAAATAGCAGGGCCTGTAAATGTACATGAAATGTAATTAATGTTAGTGGAACTCAGAAGAAAAACTAACATCTTTTAGGATGGAATTTGACAAGTTTGTAGAAGGCATTCCTGAGTGGGACAGTAATGATATCAAGGGAATGAACTTAATTACCCTGGGTAAGTCATTACCCATTTGTGTTCACATATATGAGTCTGATGGCAATATTGGCAGAGAAATCTCATTTTGTTTTCCAAATCAGTACCAGAAGGCAAGTAGGCTGTTGGGCATTACAGGTTTGTTCTAGAATTTTCATGTTTTTAATGAACAGTATCATTTTGATCTGGTAACATCTACATTTGTCATTTTATCTTTGACTTCTTCAGAAAGCAAAATAGCTATAGCAAGAATTTAGTTGTCCCAACTGTAGTAGTTAGTATTTAGAATTTAGTAGAATTTAGTTAGTAGTTAGTATTTAGGCTTATCTTACCGTGTAATACATTTTGGATAGACAATGGGAATATGAGGTTTTCTTATTTTGTTTCTTGGTTATAACCACATCATAAACACTTGGAATGGGGATTTGGTACAAATAAAACACCTAAAATTTTGGATGCACATGAGAAAAATGCTATGTATCTGTAGATCACCTTACAAAAGGTGATCCAATTACAAAAATTGCTGAAAGATCTGCATGCAATTTCAGATGTTCACTATTTTATCTCCTCAAAGTAAGCACTAAATGCAATGAACATGTTCGATGCTGCAGTCCTGTGTAGTATGTGTATAACTATAGGTAAAGCTGTGTGGGGAAAAAGGTTGTAATATGATGTAAATCAAGGTAAATGCTGAATATGTTCCAAATGAAAGTATTTAGTGAAGGAAATAACATGGTCTGTCTAAGGAATATACTGTAAATGCCATTTTTGGTGTTGTTCTGTTGTTAATAAGAAAAGAAGGATCCATGATGGTGAAGTGTCCAAAGAACTGTCTAAGGAATATACTGTAAATGCCGTTTTTGGGGTTCTCCGTTGCTAATACGAAAAGAAGGATCCATGATGGTGAAATGTTCAGAGACATCTAGCCTGTAAAAGTACTTTATAACCTGTGACAAAGTGGTCTTGGGAGACTTCCAGATGCCCTCCCAGCTGCTCTTGCACTCCACCTTCTCAACAGTACCATATTGGTGCCATGATTTAGTTGAGGTGTTAGGGCATGGGTTGGCCTCTATGATCTTGAAGGTCTCTTCCAACCTAATCATTCTATGATTCAGTACAGAGGAATTAAAAAAGATGGAAAAGCTTGTGGCTGAGATGAAGATGAGGGGCCACTTACCTATTACCATCCTGGACAAAACAGACTTAGCTTGAAAAAAAACAAATATAACACCACCTTCCCTTGTCCCCTCTCTTTGCCAGGCTCAACCTCCCTTCATTCTCTTACCCCTTCCCAACTCCTAGAGATGCAGGAGGATGGGGAATTGGGTTACAGTCAGTCCAAATCAGTTTCTCTCTGCTGCTCCTACCTCCTCATACTTTTCTGTTCTAAAGGCTAAAGTTCTTCAGTGACAGATTGCTCCAACCTGGGACCTTCATGGGCATAAGTAGCTTGCTCCAGCAGGGGTTTTCCATGGGCTGCAATTTTGTTCAGGGAGCATCCACCCACTGCAGTGTTGCCCTTCATGTGCTGCAGGGGCTGTCTGCTTCTTTCTGGTGCTTTTCATGGTTTGCAGGGAATTTCTACTTTAATATGGTCTTCTGGGCAGGCTGCTGGGGGAAGCTCTGCTCCAGCCCTGGAGCATCTTTCCTTTCTTCTCCATTGTCCTTGTTTGTGGGATTTTTTTTTTCTCACTCCTCTGATATCCTCACCTGTGTCCTGCAGTGGGTTTGGAGCTGGCACTGGCTTCTCCTCACCCCCCTTGCCATATGAAACCAATACTGAACATCTCATCAAGCCTCTGACATCTGCAATAAAGCCAAGGCAACTTGGAATAATAGCCTAAAAAAAACTGTTGAAAGGGCAATACACTGAACTACTGAACTTTATTAGAAAAATAAGGAAATTAAATACTTTCTCTGGTCCTTATTACAGTTTTTGGCATTAATCAGTTTCAGTTAGTTTCTAGACTGGCAAAAGTAGTAGCTGATTTTATTTTTTTTTTAATGCAGGAGTAGTTTTGATTACCTATTTTATGTAACACTCTCAGAAATTCCTTCACAATTTGTAGTCTCTTCAAATCTGGGATATTCTCTCTCTCTAGTGCTATTAGTTTGTGGCACTTGAACATATAGCAATAGATGAAGGACTTGAGTTTCCTTAATTTGAAGGCTATTACTTTGCAAGTGAAGTTCCATTCCCATCCTGGTGACTTGTTTTGTAGATGGGAAGCAGCTGAGACCACTGTAAGAATGGCCACAAACACAATATGTAGTATGTATTTTCCCAAACATACTGCATTTAAAAAAAAAAAAATCATCCTTTTGGTAATATGTGTTTTGGTGACAGTTGGTTTTAGAAAGCACTTAAAAATAATACAGGCAAACAGTGAGGATTTCACACTGTCATTTGGATAAGCTCTGTTTGGTAAGGCAGTTATCATACTTATGTGTCCTAACACTTTGGAACATGGCTTTGGTCTCTTATCTACTTAAAGTAAACTCTAGTTTAAAAATTGCTTTTCATGCAGTAGTACTATGTATACAAATTCTTAGCTAAAGGGAATAGTTTGTATTTTCAGAAGGATTACCCCCAAAAGTTCTTCAAGCTCTGTCCTGTGTTATGACACATCTGTTTTTTCAGTCGTGGGAATAAACTGGAATGTTTGGGCAACAGTTTATTTTTCAGAACAATTTGTGAACCAGAACTATATTAAAAAAACTCTAAAAATCACTGGTTACTTTTCTTTCTGACCTTCAGGTAAATCTAATGAAGACATACACAGATATATTAAGAGGCTTTTAACAGGTATCTTAAAGCACTATTTTGCAGGTTTTCTCTTACCAACAATTCAGTTTCTTCAAACTGAATGATTGAGACAGAGGTATTTCCTTTTCTTTTTTATCAAGGTAGGTGGAAGTGATTAGAGTAAATTCTGTCATCAGTTCCTAGTATTGTACTTTTATCTTGAGTCTTTAATAGGTTGGTTGTGTCAGCACACACTCTAGGTCAGCCCTTGATCTCTTCAGGCAGCTGTAGGCCACCCCTGTGCTCAGAGAGATGAGGTGAGGTAGAAAGGTTTTTTTGAGACTGACACAGCATTGTGAGCTGTTACCGTGTCTGATATTTCTCCTGAATTTTCATGTCCAGGAGTAATTTCAATCAGAGCTTTAAGTGAAATGTAAAGACGTCTAGTTCCCGGTTCCAAGTTAATTTCATCTGTTGGTATTGCTGCTGGCCCGATCTGAGGACCACAGTCCTGCTTTGAGTGCTGAGTCACACTTTTTCAAAGGTAGAGAATTTTCCATGTGGTCTGTTCAAAACTGTAGATCTCTAGAGAAGAAAGGGTTTCTGTAGCACTGCAGAGGATCCGTGAAAAGGGAAAAGGTGTTTTGATTCTGTGTAAGATGCATATGGGCCTTACCACGTACTGCCACATGATGATTCTTGAGCTGGAGTCCAGGACTGGAGAAAGGTGCATTATCTGCCTTTCTTGTGAATTTTTTCTTCAGTGAGTATTAAATCTTGAATATAAGTTAAGAAAAACTCATTATGTTGGCATATTGCTGAAAGCAATACAAGACAAGAAAAATAAATGTTAGCTGAAAAAAGGAAGCTTGTGCAAGACTTCTCTTTGAAATTGCATTTACATTAAAATTCATGCAGCTCAGTATTCTGCAGCTGACTACCCCAGCTTTACCTTTACATTAACCTACAGGTAACTTCTGTCAGAAAATCAAATGGGGAAGAATGAGTGTTTAGAAATAAATCAATTTTAAAGATTGAACGTTTGTACTAATCACAAGTTAAGTAAATAGACCATCCATTTCCAAGTCAGTCTTTTGGGTACTTGCATTTAGGTAAACATTAGTTATAGGTTATTGATATTAGTAGTTGAAATCCAACACTGTACAAAGTGCTTTAGCAACAAGGACAAAAAAGTTTATTTACATGTTTACTGTGTGGTTAGAAAGTTTAGATAAGAGAATAAATGAGTTGTATTGAGAAGCATTATAAATGAAATTGAGGGATACTGCTTTAGAATTTTGATTTACTTTAGATTTTTATGTCTGGTTCAGTCGTAACTTTTTTGTTCTAGAGTGTTGTAAGGTACAGAAAGAAGGGCAGATATTTATGTTAGCTTGTGAAAGATAAATTATAAATATAATGTTTCATAACTTTCATCTACTTGCAGCCCACTTTGTCAAATATATTTGTATTTGCTAGGCTTCGGCACCCTGGACCAATTTCAGCCAATCTGTGATAGAAGGCAATTTAAACAAATGGAGACAAGCAAGCCACAGTAAACATGGTATAGATGCAGCTTCTCTTCCAAGTTTGTGATTTACAGCCAGCACCAGAAGATACCTAAGGTGATAAAGTGAGGAAGGTACAGTCTTCAGTAAAAGTGACCCAGGACTCAAGATGAAAGGTGATTTCCTTTAAAAATTTCAGTTCAGAGCTAATTCCTGCAAGGAATGTGAAAGATTCTCTTGTTGCTTTTTATTTCATAAGATTTTTTCTTTTGGAAATGGATTATTCTCAGAACAGCCTTCTTCTAGTGCTGTAGCTATCCTTGGGAGTACACTTAGAGCTGCTAAAATAAACAAATGTGTATTTTTAAAAGATTTGGTTACTTAAACACTGGCACTTTATTTTCTGCCAGGGATTTGGACAGTCCCATAGCATATGTAACAGAGCATTCCTGACAGAGTTAAACACTGCCAACATTTGCTTATGCTGGCGATCCCAGCTGTGTGCTTTCAAAATGGAGCACATGGTGGGCCAAATCCTGCTTGCTTTGTTCGATAATCGGCTCTGGGCCAACAGATAGGAATTGATAAAAGGTTTTTCAGAGCTGAATGCATGAACTGCTGCAACTTGATCACCAAGTCACAGTTCTGCTACTGGGACCTGTGTCCATTTGTCTTTGGATGTGATTGATATGAATCAGGCATAAAATACGTCCTCGCCATTTATTTAGTAGCAATTATTCGAAACTGTTTTAGTAATACAAGCAGGATTTTGTAAACCATTAACAATTTGAGCTAATAGATGTTTAAATCTCCCAAGGGTACATAATTAAGCCATTTGAGGAAACTGCATAGACAATGCAATGGGCCACAGGAGGTCTCCGGACTCTGTGCTTCCACAGATGACTGTCTCTGACAACAATGAAAGGGGTAATATTTTGTAGGTAAGTGCAGGCACACAGACAGTTAATATTGTACCTTGATTCTTGTGTAAGACAACTTTATTTTGTCACTAAGTGATCACCTGCGTAGCTTAGATCTTGGGTTACAACTGAGATAATGAACAGGTACTGCATAGCTGCTGTTGCCACTCTGTCTGCACACTAATTTATCCTGTGGTAATTAGAGAATGAACAGTGCCTATATAAAGGATAATGGTATGGATCACAGTCTGATAACAACTAGCTCTGTGAAGACCTCCTCTTTATCCCAAATCCTCCATGCCTCCTTTTGCTTCATTGAAGGTGTTCTGCTACTTTGTGCAGTATAGATTGAGCTTCATCCCCTGCAATCAAAGAAAACCTATTCAGCCTATTGAAGTCTTTCAAAGGTCACTTAAAAAGCAGTACTTGACAAACTGAACTAAAGCAGTGGTTGCCTCTGATTTATTAGTTTTCACAGCAGTCTGCTGCTACACCCTTTTGGTTTTCTCTTAGGCGTAGTTTGTTGCTTGACTCTGGGGCATGAATGGATCATGAACAACCCTGCTGAGAAGGACTTGGGGGTGCCAATGAGGCTGGACATGACCCAGCCATTTGCACTTGCAGCCCAGGAAGCCAAGCATGTTCTGGGCTGCATCCAAAGCATCATGAGCTGCAGAGAGAGGGTGGGGATTCCACCCCTCTGCTTTACTTGTGCGAGATGCCACCGGGAGTACTGAGTCCAGCTGTGAAGTCCTCAGCAAGGGAAAGATGTGGACCTGTTGGACTGGATTAAGAGGAAGACCATGAAGATGATCAAAGTGATGGAGCACCTCTTCTATGAAGACAACTTGAAAGAGCTGGGCATTGCAACCTCTCAGTGTTTGAAGGGCCTTATAAGAAATGTAGGACTTTTTAGCAGGGCTTTTGTAATATGAAAAACAGAAGAAGGGTTGATTTAGATTAGATCTAAGGAAGAAGGCTTTTACAATGAGCATGGTGAAAGACTGGAACAGGTTGCCCAAAGAGGTGGTGGATGTCCTTTCCTTGGAGACATTCAAGGTCAGATTGGGCGTGGCTCTGAGCAGTCTGGTCTACTGGAAGATGTCCCTGCTCAGTGCAGGAGGGTTGGAGTACATGACTTTTAAAAGTGCTTTCCAACCCAAACCCATTATATAATACTATGTCTCAGAAAGCAAAAGATAAATTCTCTAATTTAGCTTGGGGCAGTGCTTTTAGAGTGTAGTACAGGAATGTGCTTGTAAGTGCATGCATACATCCACATCTTGTAAATATGTGCAGGGCATGACTTGATGCAAACTCTTTACCAATTTAAGATTACGCATGAGAAACATGGAGAGGGAGGCAGTTTTCTATGTTTACTTATTTATCTGGAGGAAAAAGATTATTTTTTTTGCCTAGATAACTTTGCTTGACTTAAAAAAAGTTGTGCAGAGGGAAGATAGAAAAGGCAAAAAGTATGATGTGGTCTGCTCCTTGAAATACAAACAGAGTGGAATTGGATGGTTCAGTTGGAAGGGACAACAGTTGTCTGGTCTAACTGCCTGACCACCTTAGGGATGAACAGAAGTTAAAACACATTGTTTTCCAAATGCATCTTTGGTGTATCAACCACCTCTCTAGGAAGCATGTTCCACTCTTTGTCTATAATTGGGAAAGAAATGTTTCCTAGCATATGAATATAAAGGGAAATAATGACTGGATACCCAGTGGTTTCAGTGGGTGTTTTTACACAATGGAGAAATCTGATGATAAAAGTAGTAGGTAAAAATATAACACTGGATCTACTTTCAGTTAGAGGATAATGGGATGGTGTAGAGGAGAAATCCAAGAACAACTTCTATTTCCCAGTAGTATTTCTAGTTTTCCAAGCAATTTTTACCATTGTTTTCGTAGCTGCTCCCTGACTTGTATTCTGTCCCATGTTTTGTTACTCTCCTCACCTGTTTCTCAATACTTTGAGTGCATAAGGATTGGCAACATATGAGAAGGTGAAAAACCAGCAGGATGTAGGAAAAAAACCAGGTATGAATTATGAGAAATCAGATTTTTATTATTCACTTCCCCACTCTGTTGTCAGTCCAGTATTCCTGTAACACTCCAAAAATCGGTGTTCATCTTTATTTTTACTTAATAGTTGTCATACGTGGTGAATATGCCAGCAACCACACAGCTTTACAAGCTCCTCTGATCTTTAAAAGAGGCACGGTGATGCCATGAGGAACAAAGCAATCTGTTTTTAAACCAGAGTTTAGTTTTATATGTCAGGGACACTTAAACAGTTCTCTTTACCGCTTTATCTTCCTCCTAGCAATGCAAACATCCAGATTTCTCATCTATGGTACTTTAAACAAGTCTAAAGCTGTTATCTGGGAACCTTGTTGACAAGACCAATTATTCCCACAGTTTTAATCTCTCATTTTTTTTCCTTTGGTAAAATATGATTTTGGAGGGCAAAGGCTTTTATTTACTCTCCCCTCTCTGGCAAATGCCAGAACAGATCTGAAGACTGAAATAGAGATAGCAAAGGAAGTTTCAGATTTAGGTTAATCTTTCATTCTGTGTATTGATGTGCAGGCTTATACGTACAAGATTCTTGTCATTCTACTGTAGAATAATTGTAGTTAATTCTATTTCCCTAGCAACTAATTTAAGGTAGTTACCTGCAGCTTTAATGTCTGCTTGCTCTCTTCCCTGGCAACTATCAGAGCAGTATAAACCAGAAAGCAGTAGCTACTTTTGGCATTAGGTCTGTACTGTAGGCAGCTCATGCAGTAGTGCCAGGAAGTGATTAAAGAAGGATGTCAAGGAACGCAGTATCTAATTTGGGTCTGAGTGCTCCCATATCAACACTCTACCAGTGTAGATCATAAGCAGAGGCAGAGATGATAAACAGATGTTTGGTGAAGAAAATAACAGCTCAACCAGATGAAATAAAACCACAGGACAGTAAGCAGCATACTGTCATTGTGAAGCTACTGCACCATCTTTTCCCCTTTGCACTGGATCGGTCCAATTTTTGTTTGACATAGCCTCTGTTTCTTGGCATAGTTGGGTGTTCTGTCTCAGTGCTTGATGGTGAAGCTGCCTTCACCTGCTGCCTCAGCAGCATACTTTCTTAGTTAGCCCAGCATCTATTGTCTGCACTATGTCAATTGCAGGTGCTTCTGCTACTTCTTCTCATAAATAAATGTTGATGCCTGATTTTGTAATGTGCTCAGAGATGGAAAAAAGCCTTTCTCAAACAGAGGTAAGTTGGCTCCACAAGCATTTCTTTGCTGTCTTACAGTGCAGTTGCAATAAGACATTGTGTTATCTTGGAGCTCAGAATCTCTAAACCCCTTGCAATCAATGCAGTCTTCAAGACAGAGGAAGTTGAAAATGGAGAATACATCTTCCTTTTCACTTAGGATGTAAATAACATTACAATATTAATTGAACCAGCAAATATTTACAGGATGCAGAAAATAGTAATAAAAGATACTCAGGAAGTTGCAGGTTTAATTCCTCTGAGTTATCTATTATGATGTCTGCACTCTAAACTGATCTCTAGGATGGGTTTTGAAGTCCTTTGGTTTTTCCCTAAGGCAGGTGACAATGTTCTCTCACAATGTTCTTTCCCCTGGGAGAAGTTACTTTGTTGTGCTTCTTTTCTCTTCAATGGTGATGGGCACACACAAATCTGTACTTTTGGCCTTTTAGCTTCTGCATAATGAAAAATAGATTCTGTATATATAGAACATAATATAACAAGTGAAGGATTTATTAGATAACTTTCTAAAGCAATGCTTTTAAAATTTACAAAGGAAATGGTAGAATTACATAGAAATGCTCAATTCCCTTAAACTACAAGGAGCTTTTACCTCTTCATGATACTAGGAGGAAGTTTGAAATTCTAGCAAAGCTTATCCTGTCTACAGCAGAAAGAGAGTTGTATTAATCTCCTGCAGAGATGTAATTCTTTAGGTACTGATGAACTGCTTTTGTATTATAATGCAAGAAACACGAAGATGGTCTTTCCTTTTATAAGAGCTTTTTAAAGATTTTTCTACCAGTACAGTCAGGTAAGACCTATTGGAAATAATCTTAGATATGGATTGAAAAATAAGTCTCTACAGAAACTGTTAATAAAAGCATGCTGTGTAGTCCTTTTTTCCGTATTTTGTGAAATTTTGAAGCATTAGAGGCTGATGGAGTAGAGTGGAGGATATGGTGCCATACTGGAAATAAGAAATGGAGGAACTTGTATTTTGAGCAAGAGGCAAATGAAGATCTGTGTATATTCATTTTTGACTTGGCCTGACAAGCCATGCTGTAGCTGTGGAGTGATGTCTCAGTAAAAGACTACTAGCTAATTCACTGACCCATATCCTGTTCATCTGACATGATGCTTAAATGATTGTCTAGATGAAGACTGTTAATGAGCTCCTGCGAGCTTAGTATTATTAACAAAAGAAGAGCAAATACTGCTGGTTGTCCACACAGCAGTTGTGTAGTTGTTATATCCAATTAATATTTAGAAAATACTTTGGTCTTGGATATTTGCATGATGCCAAAAAATAGTTAGCCAGGGAAAGTATTGTTTGTCTGGTATTGAGCACAAAAAGCATAAAGGCTGGACTGATGCTGTCTGAATTTTTCAGTAGTTTTATATGCAATATAATAGTTGCTAAGTAAAATACAGTAACATTGAAATGCAACAAGATCTAAAAAATATGGGGAATTGTGTATCAAAAGGCTGTTAATATACATGATACTTTCCAGGCAAATATGCATAGGGAGTTACTAATATAAGGACAGGAACACAATTCAAAGGTCCTAGTATGGGCTAAGGTGAAAGGATATTCTGAGAATTAATGTGTGTTCTGAAACCGAGCCCCTTTGAGCCCTGGGGCATAAGTAATGGGTTTTCTATCCTAAAACTCTCCAGAATACAGACTTTACTGAACAGATGAATGAAAGTGAGTTCAGCACTTAACACAGTGTCTCAAAGAGGATTTTTAAAATAGGAATCATAAGAACGAATACTTACTTGATGCTTTTTTGCCCTTTCTGCTTTTGTCTCTTCTCTGCTTCCCCCCTGTATGGATATTCCCCATAAGTTTTTTCTTCATTCCTTCTTTGTAATTTAATTTTTTTGGTTATGGTTTTTTGAGGGGTGGGTCTGCTTCCATCCTTTCCTCTACCTTTTACTAATCTTAATAATAATATTAATACAGAAGGTTTTGTCAGATATAAATTGGAACCAGCAGTGTACAAGGTACTTAACTCACACCTTGCTCTCTTTACTCCCTTAGGTAAGTAATATGTCTGGAGAGAATAGAATGACAGATAATTGGGAGTTTTTCTTAACAACTGTTCGCTCTTTTTCTATGTATGTCTTTGCAAATGTTAGGTAGTAGAGACTGAGAGAATTTTTTGTTCCCCTCAATATTGAGAGACAATAACTAGGACAGAATTAATTAAACCTGGCTGAGGCTACATTAATTACCATTGATTGTTCTAAAAAGAGTAGCTAAAATCTTTGTGCTTACTTTGATAGGAATTGGACTTTATGTTCCATTCTTATCAATACTGATTATGATCTGTTGCTGTGAGTGTTGTCTCAAACACACCCAAGATGTGGTAAGTAAAGAAATAAACTAATTCAGGAACTGTGCGTTTGGAAATGCTTCAGGAGCATTTATCATGCTCCATAAAGCTTAGGCAGTGTATTTGTAATCCTGTATATTTATACACAATTTTGGAGTGAATAGGATCTGGAAGATTTTTTTCCTGCTTTTGAGGAACATATTCAGATACCACACTGTTGATGTACATTAGTATGTTAAATAGAGAAAAAACTCTGAACTTTAGTCAAATTTTAAAAGATGCACTTTGAAAGACAACAAAGATCTGTTCCACTCATCCAGTGGAAATAAATGGTCTTCATCACTGATACTGAAAGAATGAAATGTTTGTGGTTATTGTTTCATTTTCTCCTGAGGCAGTTTGCAGTGGGTCTGTTAAAATGCTTCTCTCTCCAAAAGGAGTGATTAAGGTTGTAAACTAACCTGTGAGGGAAGCTAAAAACCATACTTTTCCCTCGTTTTCCATATTGTGAATGTTTCTAGCTTCAACTTTCATGGACACTTCTCATTTTACATGTGGACCTGCACAGCTGTATAAATTAGTCTAACTTGATTTAATTGAGGTATGTATGCTAACAGGGCTTTCCACCAGCATTATATGTACCTCTGTACAGTGTGTTATTGTCACAGGTGTGCTAAAAATGACAGGAACCTGATGGAGTCACATCAATCAAATCTGACATTAGTGTGCTCTATTTTTAGAAGTACATAAGCACGTGATCTCCCCAGCTAGTGTGTTCATTCCTGTATTAACTCAACCAGTACTGCAGTAGGAATACTGTCATGATTTAATGCCAGTATATGTGACCCTGTGCTAAGCCAGAGGGATATACAACGCCCACTGGTGGTTGCTGTGCTCTGTAATTTAATTCTGTAATTCAGTAATGTTTAAAAAAACAACCAAATAGTTACCACATGGTGGAAAATTAGCAATAAGGGACTCAAATTTTCTTGTGGTATTAAATCTGCACATGGAAAAAGTTAAATATCATCCCCAATGCTATCCATGTGTTTAGTCACATTGAATGAAATGCTTATAAAGCACGACATTATTTAATGTTTATAAGGTTTCCCACAACCAGTAAAATTTATTGCAGTTGCTTTGAAAAGCTTTGTGCAGGTGCCTTTTGAGCTGAGCTCACTCAAGTCAGAATATCACACACACTATGTGCAGTTAGTCACTAGATACATAGCATGGTATTTAAGTAATCCCATAGTAAATTGATTTTTAGTAATCCAATAGTTTGGTGGGATCGAGTCTATGTAGCTCACATACAGAAATACTGAAATATAATCTTCAAAAAAGTGTGACATGAGAATTTGCTATGATGAAGAGTCTTTTGACATTGTACGAGGGGGTCTGTGGTTCTCTGTAGGAGTGCTCCTATTTCCTTATTTCTTTTCTCATCTCATTGTCCAGGGAAATAACTTCAGGAATACCAGCATCTGCACAGGAAAGGTACTAGACATTTGCTGACCTGGGTTCAGCCCTACACTGATAAGTGCTGGTACTGATACCTCAGGGATATTAATTTCAGGAGTCAGAAGGGGGGAATCACTTTTTCTCTGTTGGTATTGAACATGTAGTTGAACTTTCCTTTTCTCTCAGTGAAAGCTATTTGGTAAATTGAGGTAGCACAGTAATTTGCTGAGTATCCAAGGCTGGGGTGGCATATTAATCAAATCTTTAAATCTGTTTATCATTCCCTCTGTAATGTGCATGGTTTCCTTGAGTTTGAATAACAAGATTCCAGATTTTTTCTGTCACTGCTGTGATTCATCATCATAAAATGCAACCATCTCTCTTCTGGGTATTTTTGGTACATAGGTGGCGTTTGGGAACTTCTTGCTTTTCAGGGATTTAGACAGGACAGTATGCCTATATATGGAGTGTAGTTATTTTGTTCAGAAGTAAGTTGGGATTTGTTCCCAAACATTAAGTGAGAGGTTCCTATGGAGCCTGAAACTCAGTTCTACTGTGATTCATATCTCTACCTCCCTCATCAACAAAAATGATGGTACCTGCTAAGGGAAATTCTGAGGCCATTTTTACCTTTCTGAGTCTGTGGCAGAACACTATAGAAAACTGTCCATAAGGACAAGAGTGAGGTTATTCTCTAGTCCTTGGCTGATCAAACTTCCCTGCCCACTGACTAGTGCATACTCAATTTTCCAGCTAGGGTTTCCAGGAAGAGAGGAAAATGGACTTTCAGATACCAGTACAAAGGCAAGTGAGAATCAGAACTGACTATTTATCAAACACATAAACAGATGCATCCCTTCTGTGGCTTAGAGGTGGCCCATCCACCTGTCTTAGGTAGTTTTGATGTGAATGAGCTCCCATGAATGGGACTCTTGCCATGTTAAAATCATGTCTGGTAATTAAATGTCAATTCAGTTAAAGTATTTAGACTGGAATTGGGTAAGGAAGAGGCTGTTGCTGCTCATTGCCCACATAAGGGTCTATTGGCATATGGCTCTACCTGCTTGATTCCTTCCGGGTTGCAACCAGTGTGGAGCCTCATGGCAGCAGAACACAGCAGCCCCCCAGGCTGGCCCCTGACCGGCGAGGGGGCATAAGCCACCCCTTTGGGGGTCCCATGGGTAGTGAGAACATTACCCCCCATGGTAGTGAGAACGTTACCCCCCAGAACGTTATCTGGCCTAACCACCTGGGGAGTCAAGGCTTATGCTACTCTCAATTAATAGGTTTTGCCCCTAGTACTCTAATGGTTACTGTGGGAATTGCTATCCTGGTTGCCTCCTAAGTCCCATGGCAGCTATTGACTTTTTGTTAGAATTCTCAAATTTGCATTTGATAGTGAGGATAAACAATATGTTGGCAAGAAAGGGTGTGGCTATTTAAATATGTGAATATATGGTAGACTATGGTGTCAATTTATAGCCTATCCTGTGTACTTGGCAAGTGTCTGTATGGCTTTCTTAGACACCTAAGGCTAATGTAAGTTGCTTATTATTGGAGCAAGCACAGACAATTTATTTTACATTTTTTATAGTAAGCAAATCCTTTCTGCTGGGGCGATTACAACAGAATAGCTGATTAATTCACAATGTGTGATTTAGCTGGTGTTTCAGTAATTTTTTTCTCCATCCATTCTCAGAAGGCTGACCGGTCCCCAGTCTCATCTTTGTCCATGAAAATTAGAGCTTGATCAGTCTTTCCATTGACATTAGTGTGCTTTGGATCAAGATATTGCCCTTTTATCTGTGTTAATATAAGCCCTTCTTGCTCTGAAAATGAAGTCCGGTGATTGCTTTCCATCAAGTTTTAGTAGCTCTATATCCTTGTAGATATTAATCTACTTGTAATTGGCTTGATTTTTTTGTTGTTGATGTTTTCTCTAGTATTTACTTCTAATACTAATTCTACTTGTAAAAATAATTCTCTTACTGCACACCCAAGGCTTGGCCAAAGGAAAGTCTTTAAAAAAAAAGAAATCTTAGTTGGCTAAAAGTCATTAAAAACAATAAGGACAGATTCTTATAGTTTTCTGTGTATTGAGGAAGAAAATCTGAAGTCTCAGAGGTACGGTTCAATGTGCTGCAGTATGATCAATACCCCTTGCTACTCTTCCAGTGATAATATCTTCTTCCCAGAAACTGCTTTTTGGCTGGGAATGTTTAACCATATATCACCTCCAGACAAGTGGCAGGTGATCAAAGCCTTGAAAAGCTGCTAAATGTAACTACCTAAGTGTCAGTGGTTTGGATATATTTTTTTTTCCTCAACCACAGCACTTTTTTTATTCTGAATTTCTTTAGTATAAAAATAGAACCAGAACAGAAATTGTCAGAAAGCTGCACAGTGCAGCCACTTCACTTTTGAAGCTGGTTCTAAGATTTTTGTAATACTTTTTGAAAGTCAAACAACCAGAGTTGTCTTCACAAGCTAGACTGACAGTTCTTCACAAATAGTGATTCTGTAGTGTACTGCCCTTTTCTGTCATGTAGGCACACACCAATGAGGAGGTTATTTCCAGGGGAGTCTGAAAATATAAGTGGAGGTTTAGTAACAATATTTTTCAGACATTAGAGAGGTCTTTCAGTATTCCTTTTCTGCTTTTGAGAAAAGCTTCCCAGATTAGAATTTCCTATCTGAAAATATAGGCAGGTGAGACATAAAAACTGTATTAAAAAGAACACAGTAGGATGTACAAACTATCCAGCTCACCCACAACCCTTTACTGAAAATGACAGAAATCACAGATGTATTTTCTCTTTTTTAAATTGAGAGATCCTTTATTCAAGTTTTGGCAGAACCAGAAATAGTGATTTTACAAAATAGATATACATAATGCAGATAGAGAATGAAAACATTTAATTATAGTCAGTATTATATATTATATATTTATAGCTCTTATTTTTGTTAATAAGTTTACTTGTGCTGTGCATCATCACAAAATTAACTCAATTCAAATATGTTTGAAGCATTTGAATTCCCCTAAAAATCTTGTCAAGAAAACAGAAGCGGAGATAATCCAGTTTTGGGGTAAGCATTCTGTTGGACTGGTTACCACCATACTCGTTTTATTCATCCTCACTGCTGAAGTTTGTATTTACACCCTGAAACACATGAGTTATTTTAAAGAGACAGCATTGTCATGCTGGATTTTTTTGACTGGAAAAAACCCTTTGATTGAAACAAGTGAAAATTAAAATGTTTGTATTACAGACTGAAGTGATTTGCCTATCCACGATGTTGTGCTTGGAGCTTTCCTATGAGAGCCCCAGGACCAGCATTGTTTTCACTCATTTTACACTGGAGTACAAGCTCAGAATAACTCTTCCATTTGAAGCAAAAGGTAGAAGAGGAAAGCCTGTGGTCCACAGAGAGAGCATTGACTGCTGAGGAGGAGGCAGAGCAAGTCTGCTGATCTTTTCCACACGGCTGTGCTTATTAACATCTCTGAATTGCATACTCAGTGGAGGTTCACTGAATATCTATTTCCTTTCCTCCTCTGCTCTCACACCCCCTTGGGTACTTGACTGAATAACGATTATGGTATTGATGCATGAATTTGTCTGCAAATCTCCATGGCAGGGGTTATGAAGGAAGGTGGGTCAGGCTGGAGCTTTATAAATGCCATGTGAAACCTTTTGCTGAAATCAGTGGTTAAAATGATCATTTAGTGGGATTGGAATTTTAACTCATTCATCTGGGATCTTTGGATTTGTGTTTTTAACCTTTTATATGTGGGGGAAAAAATTGTTCTGTGAACCAGCAGACAGATCTTCCTTTGTGATTGAGCATATAAGTAAAACATGACACTCACACCATTCACAACTGTTTTCACTTGAGGGGGGAAAAATACTGTGATTATTTTAAGTGTTTTGTGATTATAATGTCCCATTTCTTTAAGCCATATCTGCTGGAGGGTTACGTTTTGTAAGTGTGGCTGTCCAATGACATAAAACGTACCCAGATAAAGGCACAGGGAAAGAGTCTATACTGCCTAATTCAATTGTTTTAAAGTGAACTTGTTGTCTTTTTTCAACAGGTCATCTTCTCTCAGCACCTGAGTAGGAATATTTTATAGTGAGACACCTGTTCTGTATAAAAGTAATGCAAAATTGATAATATTTCATTGCATTTGTGCCCACTGAAATCTCCATGGAGCTCCAGGGGGATTCCACTCCTTTAGACTGCTGCTAGGAGCTATAAAACCACATGCCTTTAGTATTGCATGACTGGCTTCTTTGAAGGGAATCTGGTTCTATAAAAAATTTAAGTGATCATTTAGACAAGACATAATTAAGTGAACAGCACTAATGAAACACTGGAGAAGTATCATCAAATATGAAATTCCAAATGCCCCCCAATGGGCACTTGCTTGATGAATGACTGCCCAAAAGCACTGTCCCTATCTTTTGAGAACATGTATTCATTTATTTTATGCTTCTTTAAATAATGGGGCATCCATGATACCATTACATATTTCATTAGCACACATTTCCATCTCAGAGTTGTTCACTGAAGAATCCAAACCTGAGTCAATGTAGTAGAGACGTGATTTGTTCAGTATCTGAAAATCTGTGCTAGGCTTTTGTAAAAGTCTTATTTCTGAATATGTAGGCAAGCTCCTTTTTTTCATGTCTTTCTACAGGACAAAACTTGTCATGTAGTGTTAGTAGCTGACTAAGCCTCATCTTCTGGAAAAGGACCACTTGAAAGTACTCACCTCACGCATACTTCTTGTGGAAATTAATGCTAATTGGTGAACTGTGGCTCTGAATCTGAGAAAACCTGGGAACAAGTTTATGTAAGTGACTTTTGCTCCACTTATATAAACCATATAATGTCACAGTATGTTAAATTACAGTGAAATAACTATGGCCCTGCATTGGAGTGAAGCTTGGGAATAAATTTTTCCATGTTGTTGTGTGGCTGGATTTTCTAGAAAAGTTACTTAGAGTTTTTATTTCAATTTATGCACAAGACTAGAAAATACCAACCCTCAGGAAGGGAACAAAGGCAAACCTTAGCAAGTTTCTGCTTGGACAAGCTTCTTCATAGCAATGGAATTTTTGCCCTCATCTATTCATCTTTGGTAAAGCTGCTGCCATTCTTATATTTGTTTCATTCTACCAGTATAATTTCTAGCAGGCAAAGACTTGTTTTAAAAATAAAACCAAATAAACCCCAAAAAACATTTGGGAAACATTTTTATTTCCTGCTCTACCTGTCAATAGAAATATACAAAAGTATGGCAAGTAGGACAAGCTGCATATGTGAACTGGCCCTTGGCATTTTTACCTATGAAGGAAAATGCAAGGGATAAAAATATGAAGATGCCCCAATTCATGTCACACACCCATATCTATGAATACAATTATTCCAAGAGAGGACAACGGAGTACCTAATGGCTGAGATGTCCTTGGACCATTTGTTTCCTCAGTGATAGATCACAAGAAAAGGTAAAGGTCATAACAGAAGTAAATTCCCTTTAAAATAAGTGTTCCCTTTATGTATGTACATTTTAAAATATTAATCTTAAAGACACCATGTAGGGGTATATGGAGAAGTAACAGGGCAACACCAACAATAACAATTGAACAGGACAGCAGGAGTTGCATGAATTTTTCAGTATAGAAGAAAGCCACCCTCAGTGTTTTGTAGAATACAAAAGTGGCATCAAAAGTGGGGAAATAAAGTATGTTTTCATGGATGAAGAGCATTTTGTGGAAATTACTTGAGATTCAAGACACATCTCTTGAATGCTTATTGATGATTCTTTTCACACTGTCTTGGTGCAGTTGGAACTACTCTGCTTTCCTTATTCAAGCAGAACTGATGTTATTCTGATGTAGAATTCTACTAACCAAAGGGCATAGAAATCAGAAACAGGAGTTTAAAAAATCTGATCAGTAGAATTTAGCTGAGGAATATCAAAAGTTGTGTTTGTATTTAAAATTTGCTTTTTAAGTAAGATCTCAGAGCAACATGTTTAGGAGGGTTAGTGCACATGTGCAAACACACATATACTTGAAGACTACATATAAGTATAAAGCTATTAGAAGTAGCTACTGATAGAGGTGTGCCACTGTCTGCTGGCTTTTTTTTTTTTTTCTGTCTCTCTCTCTGTCAGAGTCTTGATTTTAAGGACTTGTTAGGCAGTCTGTTTTCTCTTGGAGATTTCAGGTTCATTTTGGAAGCCCAGCAGTTTATGGATGATTTTTAGCACCAATTAAGAACATAATACAAGAACAGGAACCTCTCATTTTAAGTCCTTCCGGAGCATCGGGGTTTAAAAATCCTTCTAGATAGCAGAACTTATTCTCCTAAATATTAAGGGATGCTTGAGTTTATTAAATTGTTTGTTCACTGGCCTATGTTTGCTGTTGAAACTAGAGGGATTAAGTGCAATCACCAGTATTTTAGTCTTCTGAAAAACTGAGGAGTTCTTTTCAACACTACTTTGACGTGAGTAATTGTTAGTGATGCAGTTGACTCAAGGTTCTTATCTGCTAGGACTTTAACTGCAATGATCAATCTGCTTGTCTGGACTCACCTCAAATGTCTTGTCAAATTCTCCCTCATATGGTCATATAAGCATCATTGTATATGTTACCAATACCCTCAAAATATTTCTAAGAGTATAGATATATACAAAACTATGAAGAGGTGATAAGTATTCCTAATGGCAACCTCGGAATCTTCAACAAATTGTTGCATTTGATTCAAGCAGAGAATCTTGCTTTTCTTTTGCTGAGCTTAACCGTTGTGTTCATATAATGTTGTAAGTACACCTAAATTTGAGCAAGCTGTGAAAATTTTCTTTTTTAACGCTTTTGAATTTTTTTTTGGGAACAAAGGAAGAGCCAGATGTGCTAAGGACTATTAGATCTTTTCTGTCTCCTTTCCTGCTACTGTTTTAGGAGTCATATTCATAGCTGAAAGTGATGTATGCAATCAGTTTTGCAGATACCAATGGGATTTTACATGGAATAAATTAAAAGAAAAAATAAAGTCTCGTCAGCTTTTTAAAGATGCTTGATATTTCTCTCTGCCTATGTTTACATTGGAATTCTACACACATACACATTTCAGTGGATTATCCTTTTACTGGGTTTCTAGGCATGAAATGTGTATAACTGAGCATAGCTCTCTCCCCTGCGAAGCAGGAAGCCAGTGTGCATTGTAGCAAACTCTGTTAGGTGCATTTTCAGGCTAGTCAGGCTTCAAGAAATAGATAGTTTTATTCTCAATGAAACATAATGGAAGGGCTAGATGGTGGCATTGTATATGAGGACTGATATGATGTCTCTAAAAGTCAGAGTTTCAAATGCTAGTTTCTGGTTGTGATAAAGAAAAGTAGCTCTTGTCCTGCTTAACACAAATCTTCTGATCCCTTCACAGAAATAAAAGTAATGTAGTGACATAGTTAATTGATTGCTCATTTTCTAGTTCATTATTACTGACATCAGCTGGCATTGAGAAATCCTTTAGGAAATTTGGAGAAAGATCTCTCTTCCAAAGAACCTTAGAAACAAAATTAGATGTGAAGTTGGCTTAGGTAATGCTGATGGTTTTCCTTTTATTTAAGTTTAGAGATGCCTGAATGCATAAATCTAATGTACATGATAAGACAAAGATGAACCTCAAGATATGAATGAGTTGGGAGTATTGTGTATCTTACATCTGTCCTGACATGATGGAAACTTAGGGTGTGTAAGAGTAAAAACAGAGCCTCAATCATTTTAGCACTCATTTAGCTGAGGAAGAAAGACATTTTTCTTACCATGTTTTCCCCTGAGTGGCAGCAGGAAGCACTTGATGTTCTTTTGGGAAAAGGCAGATGGGTTTTACAAGAGATTAATCTAGAACAGTGCTTGCCAGAAACGTCACTTAAAGAAGCAGATGGGATCAGCAACAGGGAATTTGACACCGGCAAGGGAGCCGACATTTCTGTCTTAGGATGTTGGGGTGTTGCAGAAAGTCCTGTGCCATATCAAACTGGCAGGCCCAATGATTGGAATAGCCAGCTCAATTAAAATGTGAATAAGTTAGGTTGTATCCTTCCCAATTTTTCTGTTGGATCTGAGTACTTTCCTAGATTACATGTCCCCTGCTTTAGGGAGACACATTTAGAATATATGCTTATATTTTCAAGAGACTCAATGTAAGAGGGAGTAAGAACAGTAAATTTTATTCTGTTCTCTGTCCTTTAGCATCTCATGTGCGTAAAACAGCTGAATGTCTCCCAGTATGGTGAGGCATTTCTCTGTGGAAAACAGTCTTTGACAACAAAAAGCTTAGCTTTTCTGTTCCACAAATGCAAAATATACTGTCAAAAATGTGTGTCTTTCAGAGTTTGTCTGTATCAGACTCGTTTGTCAGCCAGGAGCTAGCTGCACTTAAAGGTTTCTGAAAGTCAAATCAGGAAACTAGAATGTGGACAGTGTAAGATTCCAGAGAAAGCTCTGGGAATTACTGTGTATGAACGGAATAGTTGGTCTTGCTAGTGGAACCATAAAGAAAGGTTGCAGAAAGAATCAGATGGTTAGAGAGACAGTTTGATCAAAGAAATACAATATTCCTGAGAAGGCAGTCCTTGGAAGGAATGATGACTGATTATTTCAAAGCAGTGGGAAATCAGTAACATTTGAGCCAAGGGCAGTTCTTTAAGTCATCAGAAAAGAGTGCAGTAAGGCATAGCTGGTAAGCAGAAAAAGAAGTTCCCACTGACATTTAGCCTAATTGGAAAAAGCAGCAGTGGAAAGTGAAGAGGTGTGAGGTATTAAGAGAGATTTGTTAATGTCAAAGTATGGAAAATTTTCTTTTTTGTTCTCTCTAAAAGCTGCATTAAGGAAAGAGAAGTGTGAAAAGAAAGGCAGTACAGGAGAGGGGCCTAGGAATGTCAGCAGATTAGAGGAGGCGGTAATGTCTTCAGTGTGTTTTCCCATCTTAAGGATGAGGTGTCTACAAGTGTCAAGTTTAACCTTTTGTACAAAACAACTGTTACTTATAAAAATGGTAAAGAATGTAGGCTACAATGATGATTCTACAATGGTTTGTGATATTAACAAAGAGTGCTTTTGAAATTTAAAATAATAGATATTAGTTGTGTTTTGTCCCATACCCAGCTTTACTGCCTTTAAATGTTCTGCCTAAGGCAAAGGCAAACACTCATCTCTTTTTCTTTCCAGGAGGTGTGGCCAATAGTGCAGTGATTGCAAGTGAAAAGTTCACCAACAATGTCATTTCTACCAAAGTGGGGAAAATTCTTTGTCACATTTAGAATGTTGTAATTTTTATTTTGGACTGCACATGAGATCTCAATAAATTACACAGATTATAGTTGCATAATTGGAGGTTTTGACACAAAAGGGTACTTTAAACTTGAAAAATATCTGTATATAGATTTGCTTCTGTTGCATTTGTGATTTCAGTTGTAAATACTGCCATTAGAGTAATGCTAAGTTACCAGAAATGGCAAAGGAACCAGCAGAAGAGGTGAGTAAACAAAGTGAAGGCAGCTACTTGTCCTCAAGATTTAGGATCAGCTAAAGAATTTGGACTTTGAACACTGTCTTGTCAAGTCTGCTAATAAATGCATTTGAAGCTAGATCAGGTATCTCTCCATATCACTGTGTAGACATGGCCCTAGAAATAGGGAAGTCTTAGAATTTAAAGCTTAGGCTTTTGACATGTTTTTATGTCTGTCAGCAAGGAGTTATGGGGTATTGTCAGAGTATGTCTGTCTGCTTCTGAAAACAATTCTTCATTAAATGTTCTTGTATCAGTAATTTAGTGAATCACTAATGTCAGTAACCTTTATAGATTAATGGCTTTGAATTCTGCATCAAACAGTAACAGGAAAGCCACATATGCCAGTGCTATTGCAATAGAGAACATGACAGTCTGTCATGATTTTTTTACATGATGCTTTTCAAAATGCTAACAATTTTTCACAAGTTTTGAACTGGTACACAGCATTTTAAAAATTCTCTCTTCCTGTGTTGCTTGCTTAAAAAGTCCCCATAACTTTTCCTTGCATGGCAGAGATTTTCCTGCTTGGGAAGTTTTCCCTCATGTTCACTTAGTTTGTTTTATGAAGTGGAGTTCCTTTTACTCCTCTCTCTGTACCAAATTTCCTGATTAGCATAGCTCCAAGTGCCAGAAAGAAAATCTTTCTGGGCCTCCTGTACTGGGACAGGGTCTCATTTGCTGTGCATTGATGTGGCTCTACAGTGACCCTTTGGATTCAGGAGCGATGAGGATGTTAGGGTAAGGCACTGCCTGAGCATGTTGGCCAGTACCGACCACCCCATTCTGGCAGTTTTCCTGCACGCCCTTGAATTGCAATTACAGTTTGAAGATTGGTCTCAATGGAAATTCTGTTCTCAGGAGACATTTGCCTTACCATCCATGTGCCAATCCTGATGTTTGATGGGAAAGAAAGGATTTTCCTGTCACTGTCCTAATTAGACTTGTAAGTAAACAAAATGCTGTCTCAAAAGAAGGTTCAGCAAAGCCTGAATTTTGATACTAAAGAAATACTTCATGGCTGCTGCATAATTTCTTGCCAATTCCCCCTGACCATTCCTCTTCATTTTGGAAAAAAATCCTAAGAAAAATAAAAAGCTATGAAAATATTTTGTAATAATTATATGAATGTTATTACCTTGAGGCAAAGCTAATGACTGTGCTAACACATGGTGATGGGGGATTAAAAGTAAATGACATTTGGTTTCATATTTAGTATGAACTTCACTTTGTTTCTTCTTAAACTGATTGTGTGAAACAATATCAGTGATAAATTGCCCAGTATTTGTTAGAAAGGAAGTGTTCAGGATCTCATAATCTTGATTATAAAGTCTTTCAGCACATGAGTTGTAGCACTACTCTACAATCAATTTGTGTACATGTTCACATTCCAATTTAATAACACTGCAGAAACATCAAGTAGTATGGTGATTATGATATGGTGTTGCAGTACTCAGTGCCAAAGACGTTAACATCGTTTCTGCATGTTTCAATTGTAGAATATAGTATTTCTGCCTCAGCTTGTAGATTCTCAACTAGAATAAATTACAGACAAACTTGAAATCACTCTCAGTCTGAGTGTCTGCTATATTAATCACTAGAAAGAAAATGACCATGAACAACAAATGAACTTCAAAGATGTGGCAACTGTGGGATCTGGTGAAACAAGGAAATTGGGACAACTTGATAGAAACAAAAGAGCTGGAAGTTGCTTTGATACGTTTCAGGTCAACTGTTGGAAAACTTTGGAAAGAAATCAAACTCTCCATTCTAGCCTAATCAAATCAAACAAGGTCCTGTTTGTATCTGCTTGTCTGGCATGTTTCAGAAACTGAATTAAAATAGTGAAAGAGAAATGCAGAGAATAAGATGCATATAAATACATGCACATGTGGTAATATCTGTGGTGGGTGAGAAGTTTTTTTTTCCCCTAAGTAGCCACATGCTAGCTAGCAAACATAATAAGGTACTATTATTTTTTCATTTTAACTAATTCAGCCTTGTCTGCTAATTTTCTTCCTCAGTCCCCCTTATTTGAGGTACCAAAGTGATGAACAGGCTTCAGGAACATGTAAATAATAATAAGTATCTATTTTGATAAGCCTGACTGCCTGGCATTATTTGCACAAGCTGTATTTGATGGAAATACAATTATATTTTAATCCATTTAAGTCGGAGGGCATAAGGCTTGGTTCAGTATGAAACCCAAGCATGTATTTAATTTTAAACATGTGATTAAACCTGGTTATATGCTTAAAATTAAATGCTTTGCAGGTTAATGCCTAAAGTAACCAGGTTAAATAGACAGAAATATTGGAAAACACATATTAAAGTACTTGTTTGGTTTTATCCAAATACCTTTGCTTTCTCTAAATCTCTGCTTTCTATGACCTCTTAACACTTTCCTCCTCCAACCTGTGTCAGAAAAAAATCCAACTTCCATAAGAATGTGTCATAATCAAAAAGCTGAATTCACATGTAATGCAGGTCAAATCCTTGTCACGCTTGTGGCATTACTACTTATGAGCAAACACAACTATTCAGGGTTTATGCTAAGAATGCAGTTATATTTATGACTATTAGGAGAGCATCTGTTTTTTTTTCTGTTTCCATATTATGTACATATTAAAAAACAAAATGATAATATATCATATCTTACATGGGTATTTCATACCTCATACTCACAGAATTCAAGGGAGGGAAGGCCATTTTATATTGGCCAAATCCTCCCCTTAGATTACTGACTTCAGAAGCAGTGGACTCAGACTCTACATGTTGAGATTAATCAAGATAACAAGGACACATTTTTTTAGAACATAGAAGAGCAGTCAAAAGGATGACGACAGAAGTGTAATGAGGAACACGGAAAGGGAAAATGTTGGAAGACAGATTTAGGTAAAGTAAGGTGGAACAAAAGTAAATCTTAGAACAATGTAAAAGTGTGAGCCCAAAATACTGGAAATAGTCAGAATAAATGTGGGGTGAATTAAGGAAAGATAAACAGAAAAGATGGGACATGCTGTTGCCTAAAGTATCGAACTTGGTGCCAGAATACCATGATAATGTGAATTAGAGTGTTAGATCTCAGAAGGTGTGGCTGTGTTAGTAGGGGCTGGATTTTAATCATGGTCCTCTTGAATTTAATGCACAAGTCTCACATGATTTTACACTAGGCCTTATATAAAAAGTAGAAGCAACTATTCACAAGATTTAATTTGCTGCAGCATTTTTATATGAGTGACGTTGGGATTCTAAGACCAAATTCTGAAATGCCACAGAAAAGTAAAAACTTTTAATGGTTTTCAAGGAAATTATTAAGAATAATCTTGGTACTTAAAATATTATAAATACTAAAATACATTTTTAAAAATAAAACTAGGTGACTTAATGGTTCAGAAATAAGTTCAAATTCAAGAGTAGTTTTCTGTCTCTATCAACATACTGAATAAGAGAATAAACAATACTTTAGCAAATATGAGATAAACCACATTTGGAAAAAGTTAAGAATATTAATTAGATCTTAAAGAAATAGAAGGACTTAGTGGAAGATGTAGTATATGGAAGTTTTTGTTTGTAGATGGAAATGATGCAACATGATTAAAATTAATATGCAATTTTAACTTTGTAAGGGGTGAAAAATCATAAATTTACTGAATGTTAGTTTATAGCTTTCTGTCCTTTACAAACACTTCTAAATTATGGAACAACTGTTTGATATGAATGCTACCATGTTTTGACTGTTCTGAAAAATCTTAAGAGCTTGTTTCACTGTGAATTTCTCAATTACTGCGACTGTGACAGCTTCATATAGTGCATGTTTTGTGAAGCCATCAAAAATGTTTTTGATTTTCTTACACCCGTAGATTCACTCTCTTTTAGCAGTATAAATCAGATAGCTTCTTTTAGGCAAAATCACAGATTAAACAAAATATTTCAGAATGGCTCTACAGACCTGCTGCACTGAAGAGTGTGTTTGTTATGCATAACAAACACAAAATTATTGCAGCCTGAAGAGGGCAGTAAAGACAAAGCTTTATTTTCCTTAGCTTTTTGTTGTTTTCAGTCTATGCTGTATTCTGAAAGTGCATTACTAAACAGCACAAATTTACAGGTGTTATGTATTTCTGGAGCTTTGCTGCATTTGTTTATTCTGGAGAGGAGGAAACTTAGGGGAGACATTTTCCTTCTACAACTCCCTGAAAGGAGGTTGTAGACAGGTGGGTGTTGGCCTCTTCTCACATGTAACAAGTGACAGGACAAGAGGAAATGGTTTCAAGCTGCACCAGGGGAGGTTCATGTTGGACATCAGGAAGAATTTCTTCACTGAAAGTGTGGTTAAGCATTAGAATGGACTGACCATGGAGTCACCATCCCTAGAAGTGCTCAAGAAGGGACTGGATATGGCACTCAGTGCTAGAGTTTAGTTCAAATGATGGTCAGTCAAAGGTTGGACTCAGTGATCACTCCAACCTGAATAATTCTATGATAAAATATACCATCAGGTGACTGAATTCCTGTGTTGGGATTTATCTGACACCTTCATGGGACAGTGCAGAACTGGAAGGTGTCCATCACTTACAAAAGTAGATTGCAGGTAATGAAATCCATGAGCCACCCTTGCTTCAACTGGACATCCCCTTAGAACAAAATAACATTGAATACTGGTTTGGATTAGAAGAATGATTTTCCAGATTGCCAAAAAAATGAAATGTTGTTTTCATGTTTTGTCTTAACCATTTCAAAGAAGCAAAGCTCCCTTCAGAAATGGAACAGTGGGATTTTATAAGAGGAAGAAGGTTTTATCCTTTGTCCAGTCATCTGACTTGGGAGCTTCCTGACAGCCAGACTTGTATTGAAACTTAGGTAATTTTCCTTGTGTTAAGGGGTGGTGAATTTTATATAGTAAAAAATTATGTGTGTGTTGGGAGGAAACTGTAGAACAGCAGATACCTAAATTGTTCTGAATATTCAGTATGTTCCTTTATGACTAGGCATTGTTGTTCCTCAGGAGCCTGCTATTTGCTTTAAACTCAGGAAATAACATATCTTTTTAATGCTGACAGAAATGCATGTGTTTACATACTTTATTTGTATGACTACACACATGGCCAGTATTATGAAACTTACTTTTAAAGGTGTTTTGTAT